CCCCCCCCCCCCTTTTACAGGCGATAAATAATGACGGGTCTAAATCAAATATGGACCTTTTGTATCTTCGTTCACTTCTAAATGTTTGTATCCTTGATAATTCTTATTATTCTTTTTCTGAATAGAAAAAAATGCATCGGTTGAAAGTGAAAGGGACCTCCGTTTACGATGAATAAACATAAGAATACATTGTCTCGCAGTGCGACTTCCTGCTCTAACAAATGATTTGCAAAAGCTTAAATTTTTAAAGTTTTTAGCTGAATGAAACGTCAATATGTACAATGATACGCAAGTGCAACACAGTGTGAACCTTATAACGTACAAAAGTCAATTTTCATCACAAAAATGTTGTGAAACGACACTGGCAAGCTGGATCTTAATAAATTTATGCATAAAAGTATTTTTCCTTCATATGACGGCTCGGTCACGGGATTCCCCAAGCTTTCATTTATTAATAAATAAAGATAGCTATTTTCATGAAGCATCTGCTTTAAGAGATCGAACAAATACTGTTACTGGTTCTGTCCAGAAAGGACGATCGAGTAAGATTGTCGAGCGACCACGGGCCGTTCTCGAAGTTAGGAAGTTATGAAAAATTAGTATTCATAAGTCAAAGGTGGGTCTTAAGGTGTCAACACGCCTCCTGAAAGCCTGCGAAGTCTATTTCATTTGTGGGCACTGGGCTCAAATGGGGAAGCGGATTTTATTTTAAATGAATTTCGTAATAGAAGCCTTAAAAAATTGTCGAGGGATTAACACAATCAATTGAAAACGACTTAAGATGGGTCTTACAGAGTAAGTCAGAACAAGAGTTAGTCAGCATTGTTACAAATTGCGATCTTACTTGTGTCAAGCCTAGATATTTTCGATTTGAAAAACCGCAGACCACCAGTTTCTCGCTTCCTTTTCAGTTCTCTTTTCCTCCGTTTCTGTTCATCTGTTATTCTTTACAGGAATCGATCTGCTTGAATTGAAGACACTTGACGGTCTTGCCGAATGACTTGCATCAAAAAAATCCCGCGCACCATCCGCCTACCCTATGATCCATTGATTATGTGGTCGGTACACTCCGGAAATGAAATCCTTAAGTTGGTTACAATAAACAAGTACAAAGCAAAAAGTGGCATTTAGCCTCACGTGATGGAAATAACACCGCGTGAGGGAAAATTGGATCAAAGAGATCGATAAAAAATAATGTAACTTTTCCTAAATACTTACACAGCAAATCAATTGCATCCATTACCTCATGAAACCAAAAAAAAGGTACCATTTACTCAGTCGACTTTCCTATTAATGTTATTGGATTTAAAACTAAAATTGAATTTTAAAAAGTTACAGGCTTTCCATAGCACAAGAAAAAAACGTGCCTCGAGAAATGACATCACCGGAAGTACCCCGTGCATCCAATGTGCCTTTAGAAAATGATCTGTGGGTTGATCGCGAAAAGAAGCATTGCTAATGTGTTTAGTTCATTGAAATATAACTTATTAGTGTCTTTGAGATATTTTAATGAAGTTGGATATCATAAAGAGGTTCATTGATAGATTGGAAATTTGCAGCTATTTAAATTAATTGTAATTACCCCGTATAAATAAGCTCACTTCCGGGCACTAAAACACCATATTTGGAAGGAGAATTATTGTCTTGTACTTTGACCAATCACATCAAAGATTACACCAGGGCCCTTTGAAGCCATGTTGGTGCTAGCGCGGAGGTAATTTTAGACACGCTTTGTTGTAGTGTTTTAGTTTTGAATTTCTTCTTGACTTGTCTGCCATCGAAGAGTTTTTAAACGAAGGGGGAGTGTGGTTTGGTCCGCTTTCGTGAGCCCGTCCAAACGCAGATCGCGTTAGAATGTCTCGCCGTTATGACATGGGTGAGCAAGATACTTCGGCGACTCATGCAGTCTCCAATCGTCGGAAAGTCACCGTCAAAGTTTGTATGCTCGACGATTCCGTGGTAAAATTTGATATAGAGGTAAGTGCTTATGCTTTGACCGCCATGAAAGTTTACCATAGGGCAAGAAACGTGCACATAATTGTTATGTTGTCTATTTTTGTCGGCATTTCATCAGTTCTAAAAGTTCTGAAATTCTCTGATGTGCTTCGCAGCCCGCAATAATAAATACAGTTAGCAGCTGTCTTGAGAAAATAATAATTATCCATGTGTTTCGTGCTGAAATTAAAAGTAAACTTTCGGTATTCCTCGCCCGACTGTGCTTTCAGTTTGATGTGCGGATTTCTTTCATTTCTTGTTGCCCGATGTTGTCGTTGAAAAATATGCACAAATTGGCATTATCGATCGATGAAGCGTTCGAAGTATTCGATATCGATAGCTCCGAATGTTTTGTGAATGTAATTTAATGGCTTTCCACGTGCTTAATTTTACCTTTAATATTTTTTTACCTTAGATTTCCTTTTAATCTTTGTTGTGATCCGAAAAACCATGCTGTCTTTCATTTTCCGTGGAACTGGGTTCAATTAGTGGAAATGTTATGTCCATCGGACACACACACTCCGTTTGACTTTGCCTCGATAGGGAATTCTCAGGAAATTGTCATTTTTTCGAAATCCAGCAATATTGTCAATGAACAAACTATTCTCTATAGGACTAGATCCTTCCAGAAAGGACAAAGAATAAAAGCTAAAACCCATGGGAGAAAACGAAATCTATCTTCAGTAAAAAAGCTCTTGCTGCATCGGAAACCATTCTTTGTTCCTGTTGGAGTCCAAAATAAACTGTTCTTGATTTCTGTTGCCGGCCCTTTCTTATCGATTATTCAAGTTTTAAGGCATTCAGGAATTATGTATTTAGGCGTTCGTCTCGCTCCATCTTAATATTAGCGCCGCTAAACATTTTTTTGGTAATATTTAGTGGATTATGTAGCGGTTTTGCCTCCGCTATTCGAACAATTTTCAGTAAGTCACTTCCGAAGTGAAACAGATTTTAGCATATAATTTCCATTGACAGCCATTTCATCAAAGATCGATATGCAGGGAAGATTTTAGAAAGGTTGTTGACTTAGATAAGAGTGAATCATTTATTTGATGTTTGTTCTTTGCCGGGATGTCGTAGAATAGGCGATTGTGCGTCCCAAGGACATGTTAATCTGTGAAGATTTGTGTCGATGAAGTTGATAGGTATATTGAGAATCCTACCTTTCAGTTTATTTAGAACATTTCTTGCTTTTGTTTTATCGTTCTGTTGTTATCATGACAGCAAACTATGACTGGAGAATTTTTTCTCGGTAATGGTTTTATTTTGATCGGCATCTATAAGACGTTAGATTCAAGAAGTCAACAGCGAGTTGCAACTGAAGATACAGTTATGTTTCATTTTTAGTTTCATTTGGAAAAATTGCTCAGTGCCTGCTCCTTTTCAGAGTCGAAAAAATTCCTCAGTTTTTAACTGAGCGGTATGATTATGCATCTTCATGTATAAACAGTGTATTACATGCTAAGCCTCTTTCAAGGTGTTTGGAGGCAGCTAATTATAATTAAAATCCGAACTGATATTTCATAGGCTTTGTGGAACGTTGTTTAACTACCTTACATGCTAGAAATTCCTTGACCCGGAATTCTCAGCATCGAGAGATTAGACATGAACTTTGTTTACACAGATGTACAGTATATGGTGTGACTTCAGGACTCTTTTTGCTTTTGCTAATTCATTTCTGCTTTCAGATAGGGTAACTTATCATTCTTTCAATTGAGCCTGCCTAAAGCAGGCACCCTTAATTAATTACCACCATATCTTAATCTCTGACTAGTGACTTCTTGGTTATTCTCTGCAAAATACTTTTTCAGCCAGCAGTTGATTATTCATTTGCATTAACAATTTTCGTATGTTGCACATTGCAAGAATTTCTTGATTTGACACATGTGGCTAGGTCTTACGGTATTATTTTTTTTTTTTATGGAAAGCTTTCCATAAAATGTAAGATATATGAGAGTTCTGTTCTCTGAAGGATTTGCAGCTTTTGATTTTACACACATTATTTTCCTTACCTGAGACTGCACTCATTACTCTAACCCCAAAGAAGACACAATTGTAGAACTGTTTATTGGTCTACTTGTTTTGGGTGACTCTAGGAATGTTTGGCAAGCGTGTCAGCGAAATTGGAGCAAGGGTGTGAACATGAACATGTTTATGTTTTTAAAAAAGTGTGGATTGGAAATACTTTGCCACCATGCCTCATTGAGAAGCGTAACATTATTCTTGTTTCTCTCAGTCTCAGTAAGAATGGACAGGTGCATTGTGGCCGTTTATGTATGTCGTGGTTTGGTTTTACTTGTAATTGTGTCCTTTGTCAAATGTTAATTTTCTTTTGTTTTTGTAGCCAAAAGGTAAAGGCAAATCTCTATATGACAACGTCTATGAATGCCTGAACTTGGAAGAACGTGAATACTTTGGGCTAAGTTTTTATGACAAAAATGACAATTTGGTAAGTGCCTCATTGTATTTATAACAAGTTTGAAACAAGGCAAGATTTGCATCCTGGTGATCTTGCTCTCAATGTCAAATCAAAAATGAAAGGTACAAAGTATAAACAAAAAATGACTTAATTGAAGACTGCAAATATAATCATGACAATTCCCTAGTTTACTTTTTACCGCCACATCAGGATGCA